AACCTAATGTTTCTTGGATCATTACCAAAATTCTGGAAGATGGAATCAATTTTTTCCATTGCAATCCATCTCACGGATGCCTCAACCGACCATCTTTAATACAACTATCTGCATGTCATCTAGTGAGCTTTGCATCATTTCCATTAGTGAATAATCGTTTCAACCTTGGAACAATGGGAAGATACCATAACACTTTTGTCGGGGTACCCTTCATTATATCATTGTCAGAATCACCATCCTTCTTCTTGTATCGTGATTCTCCACATTGTGGACATTCGTGACAGTTCTCAAATTCTTTCGTGTACAACACACAATCATTCGGACATGCATGAATTTTTTGGTACTCCATACCCATTGGACACAATATCTTCTTAGCATCATAATTGCAGATTGGCAATGTGTTACCTTCAGGGAGCATGTCACTCAACAACTCAAGCAATTCTGTGAAACTTTTATCAGTCCACCCATTCTTTGCCTTCACATTGAACAATTTTAGTACCGCCGACAATCGTGTGAACTTAGTACAATTTGTATACAAAGGCTCTTTTGCATCATTGGACAACTTCTCGTACACATGTGTATGTTGGAAGGCATCTTGTCCAAGCTCACGAATCATTTCCTCCAACTGATCATCCATCTCTAGATCAACTTCTTCTTTGTCTTCTACACTTGGCATGTTTAATAATTCACCATGCCATGTCCACTTTATGTAACTCTTTAGGAAACCATCACAAAGAACATGTTCCCGAATAACTTCAGTCGGTAATCTTCGATCATTCAAGCAGTTAACACAAGGGCAATAGAATCTTCCATCATTATCCGGAACATTCATCTTAGCAAATTCAAGGAATTGTTCTACTCCACTCTCATATTCATTTGTTGTTCGTCTATAATTGATCCAACTCCGATCCATTGTTACAAATCTAATTTTCAAAATCAAATTAGCTACAGAAACACGAAATAACTACATTATAATGCCTACACGAAATCCAACTCCACTCTCAAAATAACTACATTATAATACAAATCTAATTTTCAAAATCAAAATCACGAAACACATTCAAATGCCTACAGAAACACATTCAAATGACTAAACTACTTACAATACATCTCTAAATTAGCTAAAGGCACCCGTGATGTTTCCCTCTCTTGACAGCATTATTACTTACTAGATTCAATACCGTAAACCTACAATGGCTAAAGCAAGCACGAAAACTTACCTCTTGAAGACCTACAGAGGTGGCGGGTGGCGTGACGTGCGGAGCCGGGTGGGGAGAAACGTATCCCGGGCGACGGGCACCGCAGTAGCAGCAGGCGGCACGAAGCGTTGGCGGGTGGCGTGACGAGCAAATGTGGGTGCGGAGAAACGTACACAGTGCAAACGGGGAGCTCTGCTATGGGTGAACTGATAAAAAGAAATGGAGCGTAGGGAGAAACGTACAGGGGAGCTCTGCTATGGGGGAAGTGATGAAATGAAATGGAGGGAAGGAGGAGGGTAAAACAGAAGATACTATGTCGGTTGCTCTAACACCCGTCATCAAAGACACTTTCTATGTCGGGTAAATGTTACCCGACATAGAAAGTTAACTTTCTATGTCGGGTAAATCTTAACCGACGTAGAAAGTTAACTTTCTATGTCGGGTAAAATTTAACCGACATAGAAAGTGACATTTCCACTTACTATGTCGGTTAAAACTTACCCGACATAGAAAATTTATGATTTTATTACAAAAATGCCACCGCGCCACATACTATGACGGGTGGACTACGACCGTGATAAAAACCCGTCATTGAAAACTATTTTTCCACTAGTGTATCTCTTATATTAATTTAGGATAAGTGTGTAAAGATGATAAAATAGTGGTGATTTTTTAATTAATTAATTTATTTATTTATTAAATTGTACATGTGAATTAAATATATATAAATTATCTACTTTTCTAAAGCGATTGTCATAAATCAATAAAAAGAAAGAAAACTATAATATTATACCTTTCTTTTATCTTATGTCAAATTTAATGAACTTTTATCTAATGAATCAATAAAAAGAAAGAAAACGTATACCTTTCTTTTATCTGATGTCAAATATAATGAAATTTTATCTAATGAGTCAATAATTAATCTTGTCAAGTACAATATTAAATTTTTATAACATGCATTAAAAATATTTTGAAATAAAAAAAGAGTATTAAATAATCAACAATTATAATGGTAAAAAGGGATATGCCTCCATGATAGAAATTAAAGCCATTATCACATAAGCTTAATCGAAATTATGAGGTTTTTGAAGTAATAGATACCACGTTTCATTAAAGCGCATCTAAGCTTCAAATGAGATAGAGAATCATATTGTACATGATGTAATTTCTTAAGTTATTTGCCGATAAAAAATGTAATGGTTGCATCATTAGAACAATTGCAATGTACCATATCAATTTCAATAACGTCCGTTTCTTTTTACTCCGTCTACTAACACACATAGTTGTCTTTATAAATTTTTTCTTACCTAGTTTCAGCGGTAGATCTTCTTGGGAATTGAAGAGTCCGTGACTTTCCCAAAGTTTTAGTAACTCCCATATCATTTATGATTTTGACCTCGAGATATAATGAATATTTAATATATTTACTTATATATTTACAATTTTATTTTTTCAATCTCTCCTCAATTTTATAACTATCATGTAATTTAATTTATGATGTTGTCCCTCTCAAATTTAATTATCATTTAATATATTTAAGTATATATTTATAATTTTATCTTATTTTTTTATATTTATTTATTATTTATTAATAATATATTATTTAGTCCTAATATTAATAATGATGTCCGCAATTGGGTGGTACAATCTCTAATTTCCTTACCTGGTCAAAATATATTGCACAACTGTCATTAAATGAAGGTGATAATTCACAGTAAATTTAGTTTGACTTATATTTTTTCTTGATTTAATTTATTTAATATAGTAATATAGATATTGAAACGATTACGAAAAGAGATTAAATTTTTCATTTTTTTAAACTCTCTTATAACGTCATGATTTCAAAAAGAACTTGTCCCATAAAAAACAAAGGAAACAGCAAAGTTCATAAACGAAAAATAAGCATGATTATGGGTCCACAGGTAAAGAAAAACGTGTCAAACTTGAAGCTATTCATGTGAGAAGAAGAAAAAGAATGAAAAACGTTGAAAAATAAAATTCTTTGTTGCTTTGGCCTCATGCATGTCTCTGTCCGCGGATCGCAATTAAATTTATACCGTCTGATCTATCTCTCCTGCTGTCGACCAAAAAATTTGAGATGATTAAAGGTGGAGATGGGTTTTGATTTTTTTCTGCTTTAAGAAGTTATACAAGGGATGAATAATGCATGTCATATTTTTGTTATGGTTTTGATTTTATATTTCAATTTAAATTTAAATTTTAAAATATTAATATTTTAAAAGTATTTTTTTTATATTATATATAAGATTATTTTTTTAATATTTTAATATTTTTATTTTTCTTCCATCAACTTTTTAATTTTTTTATTTTTTTTAATATTTTATATCAATTAGTTTATTATATTTTTATTTTATTTTTTTTCATTTTTTTACATTTCTTTAATTTCTCCAATCAAATTTTTTTTCATCTTTTCAATCAATTTGATTAATACAAATTTTTTTATCTTTTTCTAAATATTTTACATAAATCTTAATAATAACTAATATGATTTTATTTATAATTTATATTTATTAAGTTTTATTATATCATATTTTTTAGATCTTATTATTTTATTTGTTATATATCAAATTTTATCTTAATAAACTAATTATATTTTAAAAGATTAAAAAGAAATAATAATTTAAATTTTTATTACTTTAAAATAATTAAATAAGAATTAATTTATTAAATATTTATTTAAAAATTATATATTTTATATTTTTAAATGATAACTTAAAAATAAATTAATTTATATATATAATCAAATATTTAAATATAGTATAATAATAATAATTATAATAATATTATAAGTATTAAAATGTTTGAATACAATAGTATTATAATAATAATAATATTATAAATATTCTATATATATATAAATAAAAAATAATTAAATATTTCTTTTACATACATATTTTAATATAAATATAATAAATTAAAATATATATTTAATTAATACTAATTACAAATTAAAAAATTATAAATATTTATTTATATATAAAAAATATATAAAAAATATTAAAATTAATTTATTATAAATATAATTATTTTTTTAAAATAATGTAAAATTCATGATTATAATGAATTTTAAATCAATCACAAATTTTTATTAAAATAACTTCAAATGCTACAACACGTTCTTTAATACTCTCTTGGATTGAAATTTGATTGAAAATGTCAATTTTGATGAGTTTTACACCTTCTTTAATGAATTATTTTCTTGATTTCATACTTTTACAACTGCAGTTAAAGTTTTTTTACACAAATTAAAAAGGATAAATATACTATATTTCTGAATAAATTTACTAAAATAACTTCACTTTATTATGCAAAAGTAATTTAATGATATCAATGGATGCAGATTTTTATTTTAATTTTTAATAAATTATAATGATTACAGAATAAAAAAAAAAGAATAGTTTTCAATAAACTTAACAAATGAAACTGGAGTTGAGTTTTTAAAAATAATATGAATCTTACAAACATAATAATTTAAAACTCGTATTAAAAAGTAATTTTTATATTTCTATACATAAAATTCATATTAAAATAATATTTTTATTTTATTGATATACGGCAATGTGTTTATGGACGTGGTTTTAATATTGACCAACCAAATTTGTTACATTTAAAAAAGATGACATTTAGGTCTTCATAAACGGTAGGGTAACCTGCACTATGACCATTTTATCCTTCTGGATCTCTGGATTTCCTATAAATTAAGTGGGTTGGTTGCTTCAACAGTTCAAAGCTAAGCTACACTACAACCAATCAGATCAAAGCGGCTCTAGAAAGCAAAGCATGATTAACGCAGCCTCATCACTTCCTGCATTCGCTGAGGATGCAAAACCCATCACTCGGAACACTGCAAACTTTCATCCTTCCGTTTGGGGGGAATACTTCCTTCACAATCATCTTACTTCTGCTGCGGTACTGCGTATCCACTCGCTTTAATCTTATCTTTTACATTTTTGTCTGTTTGTTAAGACATGGTTACATCATTAAAGACCAATTATTTTATGTTTTTTCATACATATATATTATAGTTGCAAATCACGTTGATTAAATATATAAATAAGATATAAATCTTATTTTATAAAATTAGGATAGATATCTCTTTATTTATAATATGATATTAAAGTTTATTTATTAATCTATTAATTATTTTCAAGAGATTTATCATTCTTGAATGTAATTAAGGGGTTACAACCAGCGGTATATTTTCAAGTTATTTGAATATATATAATCTAAGCTCATTTTTTTAATATTTAAATTTAATAATTTATTAAATTTATATTAACCTAAATAAAATATTATAACTTTCAGTCTATTTATTTATTTATTTTCGTAAATATTAAAATAAATAATTAAATATATTGAATAAGAAAGTTTAAAAGAAGTTATATATATATTTTTTTAGATTTTCATATTCTTTCTTTTATTCATTTGAGTAATATATGTTATTTGAGTATCCCAAATCTATTCGTGAAGATTTATCACCGATATTGGAGATCACCTTTATTGTTGAGTTTCACATTCTTAAAATATTCATGAGTCTGAATTATGTTGGACAAACCAAATATTCGAGAGAATGTAAAAAGTTGAGAGAAGATGAATATATGAAAAAAAAACTAAAATCTCTTTTAAATCTTCTTATTTAATATATTTAATTATTTATTCTAATATTTACTCCAAATTTTAAATAAATTTAAATTATATTTATAATATTTTATTTAAGTTAACACAAATTTAATAAATTATTAAATTTAAATATTTACAAAAATTTGGAAAAAATATAAATTATATATATTCAGATAATTAATTTGAAAATATTTGGGGCCGTGGCCACAGATTTTATATATATATATTCAAAATATTTATGTATATTTAATGAACTAAAATCCACCACTAATATTAAAGATTGCATATCTATTTAGGAGTGAAGAAATCTTATGTTAACTAAAAATATAACTAATTTATTCTATAAATGAGTATCGTAATAATTTTCTTTAACCATTCAATAGTTAATAATAGAAAATATTAACGTATAAATGAGGATAACATTTATTAAAACTTGTTAAAAATTCAACCAATAATAAAGAATTGAAAAAAAAAAAAAAGTGTTTCCAGTATTTATAAAAGTAGGATTAGAGAACACATAGCCTAACTAGAATCCAATGCGTCTATAATTAGATGATTTTTTTTATAATTACGTTATGGTTTTAAAGTTATTACATCTATTAATAGTCTCTTGACTATAATGACTTTTGTCAAATTGGAATAATCTTTCATAACTATATGCAGGAAGAAGATAATCACGTCAATGAAGCTCAACTATTGAAAGAAGGCGTGAGGAAAATGCTTGCCTCTCCTATTGATAACAATCTCTCATTTAAATTACGCTTTATCGACTCAGTTCAACGTTTGGGTGTTTCTTACCATTTCGAACACGAAATTGAGGAAGCACTGCACCAGATTCATGACATTTCAACAAAGGATGATAATATTATAACTGAAGAGGATGATCTTTGTCATGTGGCTTTACTATTTCGGTTGCTAAGACAGCAAGGATATCGCATTTTATCAAGTATGTGATCACAAACATTGCATTAAGTTTGCATCACAGTCTTAAATAATATATCGTAACGCAGGTATTTTCTACAAATTCAAAGACCAAACCGGAAAATTCAACGAAAGGGTGGGCAGTGATATACAAGGAATGTTGAGCTTATATGAATCAGCCCAACTAAGATTTCATGGAGAGGAAATACTTGAAGAAGCACATAATTTCACTGTTATTCAGTTAACTAAGTCCCTAAATACCCAACTAAAGCCTTCTCTTGCTGCACAAGTGAAGCATAGCCTAAAACGATCACTTCGCAAAGGATTACCTAGATTGGAGGCAACATATTATATGTCTTTCTACCAAGAAGACCCTTTTCATGATGAAAACTTGCTAAAGTTTGCAAAACTAGATTTTAATATGTTGCAAGAGTTACATCAGAAAGAAGTCAGCAACGCAACCAGGTAATATTTTCCCGAAAATATGAGCTTTCACTAGAGAAATAAATTATCCAAATCTGAAACCCTTTGTAAGAATATTATTGGGTTTGGTGATGATCAGGTGGTGGATTGAGGATTTAAATCTCTCAGCAAACTTGCCATTTGCACGAGATAGGATTGTAGAATGTTACTTTTGGATTTTAGGGATTTACTCCGAGCCACAATATTCTGTTGCTAGAAGGATGATAACAAAAGTAATTGCTCTATGCTCTGTCATTGATGATATGTATGATGCCTATGGAACCATTGACGAGCTTCAGCTTTTTACCAATGCAATCGAGAGGTTAGGCACATCAAAATCATATATAACGTTATATCTTCAGTCCAGTTCTTCAAATATATCAAAATGATGACCCCCATAATGACTGTCAGGTGGGATGTTTGCTGCTTAGTTGATCTTCCAGAATACATGAAAATATGTTTTACGGCAATTTTGGATGTTTTTGAAGAAATGAAGCAAGAAATGGGAGAGAAAGGAAAAGAATATCGCATCAACTATGCTAAGAAAGCAGTACGGATAATTTTCCTTTTTCTTCAATAGCTATTTCAATGATATATCTGTGAAGCATGTCTGTGGCAAAATATGGAACATGTTTCTCAATATTATATGTATTTTAATTGCAGATGAAAAGTTTTGTCAAGTCTCACATGAATGAAGCAAGATGGCTTGATTGCGATCATACACCAACAATAGAGGAGTACATGCAAGTTAGAATGGTAACAAGTGGTTACCCTGCACTGATTACCATATGTTTTGCTGGCATGGAAGATATAACAGAAGAGGTCCTTCTATGGACAGCGAGGGACCCAAAAGTTATTTTAGCTTCTTCAATTATTAGTAGGATTATGGATGACATTGTTGGAGATGAGGTACACTCTAAGACACTCATTCTTTAGTTTCAAAATGTTCTATAATATTAGCTTAATTATACATTAATTTCACGTAAAATCATGGGTCAATGTATTATATGTCACCCTCCTTAAATAAACCTAATAAAAAAAACAAAAAAGTAAAGAGAAGAAGTATACAAAAACAATTTGTTACATATTTCATACAAAAGCAATCTAAGTTTGAAACATAAATGAAAAACACATTTAATTCATCTTATAGTTAAAATTAAGATCCAGTCATCCCTCAACTTTTAAATATTAGGAGGGGAAACCCAATTATAATATTGCTAATATTAATCACAACTTTTACTTTAATTGGAATAATTTGTTTTCGATTTTGTTTATGAAGTTTGAGCAGGAGAGAGGACACATTGCTTCAAGTATTGAATGCTTTATGAAGCAGCATAATACTTCAAGAGAAAATGCCATTAGTGAACTACGTGAGATGGTTGATAGTGCTTGGAAGGATATCAATGATGCATGCTAATCCCACTGAAATACCACTTCATTTTCTTTTGTTTATTGTCAACCTTGGGCGCGTGATGGACGTGATTTACAAGGATGGAGATAACTATACAAATCCAGGAGGGTTGATGAAGGATTACATCGAAGCTTTATTAGTTAATAAGATGTGTGTATAAGCTAAAAGCTTGATTCTCTTATTAAGTATTTATGATTGGTCCATTTATTGAATAATTTAGTTGGTTAATACTCTAAAAAGAGGTTGAAGAGTGCTTATTTATAAACATATGTTATCAGTTATGAAATAAAGAGTGACTTATTTATAAATATATGTTATCGGTTATTATATATGTAATGTAGAATGTGTGGTCAATAAAATATTCTAATTCATCACTCCCAATTCTCTTTAGAATATGTTTGTATTCTCTCCTTTCTCTCCAACAATCACTATGCCTCTATCCATGCAATTGAGGATATTAATTAAAAGTGATTTTCTATAAGTTTTTTTAATGAATTTTTACAATTAGTTTGAATACACGTGATTTACAATAATTGTTTTTACTTAATTAGTAATACTTTAAGACAGGCATATAACAAGAACTAATAATCAATTCAACTCACTCTATAATTTAGCAATAGAAAATTAGAGGTCATTATCTGGCTGTTCCTTCAATTAACCATTAAAGTATTATAAATAAAAGAACAGTTTCATGAAGCAAGTACTGTTATGGTCGGTTTGGGACCAATGGTACTATTTTGGAAGCTAAAGATTTCTTTTTACAACATACACGTGAGTTTGTTGGATCTAAACTTATGAAGGCATGCTGGTTGCTCTGTTGGTCTATTTAGTTAGATATAGATAGTGTAGTATTTAAATTTGAGGCTCCTAATTTTGAACGTGTATTTCAGTTATTTAAATTTAGATCGTGGATATGGCTTCCAAAAGGATAAAGAATTTCTCTTTCTCATTCTATGAACGATCAATGACCCAAATTGTTTAAAAAGATTGTAGGGTAAATAATTTAGCAGAATTTTATTTATAAAATTCTTATTGTAATTGTAAGACAGTTCAATGTGCTATTTAGCGTTATATATTGGTAGGAATGTGGATATTCATAGTCACTTGAAGTATATCTTCAGTTTTTGCAAGCAAATGGGGTAAATTTTTAAAAAATTATGAATTTAAGCGAATAGTATTAGGAAAGACGACTCCTGAATAAGTCAAATTTTATAATACGAGTTCAATTTTTTTTAGATTTATATAATACGGCTTATATATATATAACTTTTATTATTATACAATAATAATAATACTTTTTATATTATTAATAAAATAAATAGTACTAAAATAATATTTATAATTATTATTAATTATATTAATAAATATAAAAATATTTATCCTTATTTATTTTATCATTAATTATACTTAAAATAATATAAATAAAATAAACTGGTATGCTGATGTTTTTCAGAGGTTGATTTTAAGTTTTTAGAAATAGGTTTACCTTCCCAGAGTTTTGATTTATTCCATAAATTTATGATATGGACTTTAATTTTTTATGCATTTGTATAGAAAAAGCGTAATATTCCATATGCTAACCTAATTAAAAATCTCTTACATTAAGCTGTCACATATAATTTTATTAAAAAAAATATATAAATAAAATAGGTAATAATTAAATATATTAAAATTATAATTAGAAATTATAATAATTAATAATATATAATAATTTTTTAAAATATATAATCACAATAATTATTGAAATATAATAATTAAATTAATATGAATTTATTATTTGATTATTATAAATAATAATAATAATAACAATTATTATATAATTTAATTATTATTACAATTAAAATAAAATAAATAATAATTAAAATATTTATATTATTAATATAATAATAATACAATAATAATATTAATAAATATAATTTTATTATTTTATTATTAATATTAAAATAATATTATTATTAATAATACAATAATATAATAATTATTAATTTTAATAATAATAATAAATATAATAATATAAATTTATTATTATTATTATTTATTTTATTAATAATATAAAAATTATCATTATTAATAATAATAAATATTATTATATATAATATAAAATACTACAATTTTTATATATAATTCGTACATTTTTTTAATCTAAAAAAAATCAAAATTCTTACACGACTTACAAAAATATCTAATTTTTATAAAATTTATCTATTTCGATAAAAATTTTGAAATTACAGTATTTGACTACAACATCCGAATATAACAATTTTAATTTATTTATTATCACTTCCCTGTCACGACCTTCATGACAACAGGTATCTTGTCTATTGGAGTATCTTGTAGAAAAAGAAAAGACGTGAACCGTGAATAGATATTGTTATTAAATATTTATATATAAACTATGTTTTTTCTTGACTTATTAACTTATATTTATATTATTTGTAGTTATTCAACAATGTTCTATGCTGAATTTGATGCTATTTGGTAATTTTTTTATTTTTTATATTTAAGAATTTTTTAAAAGAAATTTATTATTGAAATAGGCTCATTGTCTATTATTATAATTTTCTATAGAAGAAATTATATTTTTTTATACATGATTGTTTCAAAACATGTTTTATTATTAAAAAAAATAATTTGATATATTATATATTTTTTTAGTGATGTGATATTATAAAAATCCCAAAAACATAATTTAAAATTAATTGAAGATTTCGAATGAAGTTCTTTCATCGTTGATGTCCTTTTCGATTTCTCAGGATACGGCCATGTCATGTAGTCTTTAGGGAAAGGACCACCAGTCATCCGATCATGTGTATGCTTCTCCATGCCTTACACGTGAATATTTGTTTTTTAAATTATAATTAACTCAACGCTGTAACTGTCTTAACTTTCTTATAAGTGATTTCTTTAAGGATTTTATGTTATTTAGATCAATGTATATTTACCTTGATTTAAATTTACTTATATTATATCTTTGTATAATATTACGTGATGTAAATGGATTAAAAAGAATAATATATGTTATTTTACTTTTTATTTTTTTATTTTATTTTATTTTTAAATTAATTATTTTTTTCGTAACTTATGTAATTAATATGTTTTTATTAAAAATATATTATAATCATTTTTTCTTAATTTATTGTATTTTGTATAATTTTAATATAAAAAATAATATTACATGCATATATCTAAATTATATTTCTTTTCTTTTTCTTAAGGAGAAAAATAATTTAAAATGGTCTAAATTTATGTAGTCGAAATTTATTCTTCTCAAAAGCTCAAGTTTGGTTGTACAGTCCATTTGTATAATATTACGAATGGAAATTTTGAATCAAACAAATTAATTTGTGCGAGAATACAATTTAGTTGAATTAAATGTTAGCAAAAATAAAGAATTAAATGCAAATCAGTGCTCAATCACTCAAAGTAAGAAAGAAGCATATTATTTTCTCCTAATCGAGTCCCACAAATTTTCTTCACAACAATTCAATTTTACAATTTTTATTTGGAAAACATTTGATTTTATTGTAATTAATTTTAGGTTGAATTTCTCTTATTCAATTTCTTATAAATAGAGATCTTATGACAACAAAATCATAATCTCCTCGCTCCAGGGTAAACTTATGTTTAGTCTTATCCTCTCTCTTTTGTTCTCAGTTTTTCGTTTAGTTTTTAGTTAGACAAACTCATCTCCTGCTACTACATTTCCGGTTTGTTCTCTTTTATTTAATTTATATTGTAACATCTCAATTAATGTAAAAGATAAACATTATCTTATCTTAAAAGATAAAACTTATCAAAATCATAATTACTGCATTTATGATTACGTAATTAAATAAATAAAAAGAAAAAAATGCTATAAAAAGGGAAGGGGGAAGGATCCGTAGGGAGAGAGAGAAATAGAAAGAGAAAGAGAAAGGGAGAAAGAGAAAGAGAAAAAAAAAATTGTCTACAAAATTTTGGTATCCTCAATTCTTAAGGTAGGAGAGGAGAATATTATCATTAAATTTTTTTTTCTTAGAGTTGTGGAGTGATATGTCCCTAACCTCATTCTATTTATTTAGTTATTTGTTTATTTATCTCTAGCTACGTAATGGTCCTATCTTATGCTTGTTTATTTTATCTCCAGTCTTGCACTTGGTCCTATTTTAATTATCTTCGATTACGTACTTGGTCCTATTTGTTTACTTTATTTTATCTCTAGTAATGCAGCGATCTTATTTATTAATATATAGTTATATTATTTAATTATAATAATATCTATTTGTGAATATTTGATGATATTGTAGATGGAGGTTGGACCTTAAGGATTTAAATGAGTAAAATATCACTTGTGAGAGTGATTAAAATTAGGCTCATTTATCCTGACTAGTCACTACAAAATTAATTTAAATCTTCATAAAATAGAATGAGTTGAGGAAGATGAAACATATATATTTATATATTATAAGATTGTATTATTGTAAATGATAAATGTTCTCACTCCCTATTGTGATCTTTTGTGCATGTTTTATTTAAATACCAACTTAAGTAGATGGAGGCGCCAAATATTTCAAATCCCTTTTCTGCAAACATCACTACCTTCTTTCCAGGAACTACTTGGAACACGAATGTGATGTTAGCAAAATTTGGGTCACGTATATATATGATACATATTTAAATGTGTTAGGGTCATTATTTATTAAGCCAAATAATAAAGTGATCTGAATAAATTAAAGTTTTGGCTAAAGGCATATGTCATGAAAATATAATTGTGTAGAGACCATAGAGTAATTTTTAATTTGATGAGGGGCCAAATTGAAAATACTAAAACTTAAGTAATTAACCTAATTTTGGTTATATAAAGGGTCATGGTCCCCTTCTGAGAGCACACAGACAGAATACAGATATAGTCCCGTTCTTTTCTTTCTATCCCCATCAAGAGAGAAAATCCATAGGGAAATACAGGTGCTCTTCAGGTGGAAGACCATAAGATCAAATCAAAGGTGCTCTACAAAGGATATCGTCAT